CATAATCGCATTACTACGAGCACGTCAGTAATTTTGCTGGTACACCGCCCATCGCGATGGCAACAAACATCTTCGAACGGGTCTTGTTAGAAGCCTTCCTGGCCCAGAAGACTGACATTGTCACGAACAGGGACTGAGTGCTAGAAACGTCAGCAATATGGATTATCCTGTAAAAAGGGTTACACGAATAAAGCAGTTTAAAGTGACGAGAGAGAACGACAACTAAAGACTACTTCGTCAGTACTTGTAAAAATTGACCACAACGAGGCGGCAGTTGGTTCACACAAAACTAGTTGAGTAAATCTTTTGACGACACATCGTCAGACGCTGAGTTCTGGGTATAAGAGCGAAAAACTCAGTGAGTTTTGTCACTTGACTGAATTGGCGTAGAAACTCCAGCCGCAACTTGAAATGGTGTCTTGTGTAGACACACAAAGGAAACTTTCGGTCTTTGTTCATGTCATCGATGACATTGAATTCCTTTAAGAAATTAACTTGATCTGATCGCTTGTACGAGGTTCCTGCCGTTTAGCATCGGAATCCAGTTGAACATGACTTGAAAAGTCAGGATTTGTAGTAAACTCTAGCCGCTGAATTATCTTGTAAAAGCGATAAAAAACTAATAGCACATGCTTCCTATAAAATATCAATCAGAATCAATATTTAATATCGGTGTTAGAATTGTTCAGCAGCATTTCTTTTGCTTCAGTCATTGATTTGTGACTGTAACATGAGCTGGGCAAAGCACCAAATATGTCTATTGCCCAGAACATTCAGCATGAGCAACAGAAAGATGGATCAGCAAGAGATTCAGATGCCTTGAAATGCTGCCTTATTTTTGTGACGTTTCGTCAGCCTTCTTTTCAAAGACCATCCTCCCAGCCTCAGGTTTTCATTCTATTGCGGGAGAGGTATCGCAACGGTTCCAGTAGGCAATAGCTTGATCAGGTAAAAGAGGTAAAGTGCATTGGGTGAGCAGTATGAAGAGACGCAAATCCTTGCCTATTCTGATCTTTCTGACATTCAACAACATATTAGAATGGATTCATATCCATCATACTGGTTAATGTTGCGTCAAAAGCAGTTTATTGCTCTGTAGAAATGGTAGAACTCCCACATAACATGCCATCGCCGCAAGAAGAATTTATCAACATGATTCAACTACCGTTCGGAGCAACTCCCTAAGAGAGCCAAGTGAACCTAATACTAGACGCATTTTTTTCGATGAAAATTGTTCTAAAAAAAATAGATCCCGTAACGAGGAAATATTGCATACATGAAAGTTTTAGTAAATTAGATGCGCAAATGATTTTGATTTTTTGCCAAACGGTCTCGCCGAGCCTGCATCTGTGATTTTTGACATGTCAAAGGAGATCTGTTGTCTATCAGTCTGAAACGGGTAGTTAGACCATTCAGCTCTTTACTGAGATGAGACGCATGAATATGCGTAAATTGAGAATATCTAAGTACGTAAGTGCAGTACCACCTGAAATTAATTGGGCAATGAATTCTCTGGTTTCGTCTCTCGTTATTCTGAATGAAATCGAGCCTCAAATATGCTGTCACAAGTCGCCTACGCACAGCGGTCCAGGCATGAGCAATGATCAGTTAATTAATGCGGTTCGCGGCAGCACATTGGTAGTGAGACTGGCATCGAACTCCAGAAGTGCCGTGTTCGAATCTAGTGAAAATACAAAATTTGTCTGAACCGCTAATTTCCCTGAGTCAGATATTTACCAGACGTTGACTTGGAACAACAGGGATAACATCGCATCATGGTGTGTTCATAACAGAATAAGCACAGACGTATAGCCAGGCTATCCAATGCAAGTTCCTGTTTTGGCGGCACTTCGCCTTGACTCATCTGACTCAAACAGATCAAGGTGCAGCCAAAAACAATTAACTAACCTCGACGACTGTAGCTCAAAGGGAAAGTGGCTTAATATATTACAGCCTTTGGTAGAACATGGGTAAAAAATCCAATTTATGAAGTTTGTGAAACGACGAGCAGTGGCGCAGTAAGTTTAGCATTACCTTATATTTTAACTCCAGAGTTCGAGTCATACTATACGCTAAAATTTTTCCATAACTTTTAATTCCCTTGAGCAAGGAATTCGCTCCATTGTACCTCATTACAACCAGACAAATACAGGTCGCAAGCCACTGACTAACAAACAGAATGGTGCTCTCGTCCCAGGACGGCGAGTACGATTATTCTCCATGACGCGAGGATACAATTCTCCTTGACCCACCTGGTAGATAACTACCAGATGTGACCATCACGACCAGATTTAATCCATAAATAAATAATCATAAATCAATTCTGCATGAAATCTTATCTTGTTGACTGTTTCTTCGAAAATGAAATACGTGAATCCGCAGTTGCACATGTACACCCGATTGCTGGCATATTCTGAAGACGCCGTCTATAGAGAGCATTTGTCATACGTCTGTGCACGCTTTCAGGATGACATAACCACTGTCCATTCAGACACGAAATCAGTTGGCCTCACAAGGAAATAGAAAAACAGCCTTTAC